GTTCTACATCCTAGTTTGTTGTGTCTGGGGTCTTAAAAGCTTGTGAACTTTTAAACAATGTCACTAAAAAGTATACGAGAAAAAAAGACCTGTTGGTAATTGCTATGGCATTATATAATTTTGAAAGCACCAAAACATTTTGCAGGTCTATATGTATGTATGAAAGCATGTATGTGTACAGGCATGTATATATGTGTGTATATACAGGTGGATGTATATGTATCTATGTGACTGCATCTATCTATCTATCTATATATATGTATATGTATAATAAAGCATATGGAGGGCACAGTTATAGATACTTCTTAGACATAAACACCTCTTGAGATTGGATTTCTGGGTTTTAAGAACTAGGACCATAGTCTCGTGGGACATCTCAGTCAATTTATATATTTCATAAAATTATGTTCTACATCCTAGTTTGGGGGAGTAGAGTCTAGGTCTTGAAAGCTTGTGGCCATTTAACACACAACTATTGGTCTCTACTCATCCAGAGCAAAAAAGAAAGAAGGAAATAACAACTCAGAAGAATCTAGTATGCAGGACTGTCTACACAAACCATGGGCCTCATCTACCCTGAGACCAGCAGAATGAGATGGTGCCCAGCTACCAACCGTTCTGCTCAGGGCCACTACAGATGGACACTGGTAGAACAGGAAAAGAATGTAGAACAGAACCTCAAATTCTTCAAAATCCAGACTTACTGGACCAGTTGGGACTGAAGGACTCCCTGAGACTATTGCCTTTTGCCTTGATAGACTCTAAACCCTGAACCAAAACTATCCTAAGGTCACCTTTTAGATAAATAACAAATTCAGCTCACAAAATAAAGAGTATCCCACAAGTACTGCAGTTTCTTTAAAAAATCATCTATATATGAGACCAGTCAACAATTACCTTAGAAACAAAGCAAGACTGTAAGGGGGCAGGGAAAATAGGTTACTGGTAACAGAATGACAAGAATGGGTACAAGAATGTTCAGGCATTGTGAAGAGTGTAATCAATGTTACTGAACAATGTGAGTAGAAATTATTGAATGGGAATCTGTTGTGTAAACTTTCACCAAAAACAGTATTATTAAAAATAATAATAATACACATTAATTCAGTGTAATTTCATGTGTTTATTTAAATATTTATATAAACATGGCCCTAGGAGCAGTGAATACACTTTCCTACAGGTGTTGCTTCCCTTTTTGATATTGCACAATAGAAAATATTTAAATTCTTGTTAATTCTCAAAAATTGGATTTCAATGCTCTATTTTTCAACTATATATACTCTATGTCAACAGTGAGTCTTATTAGAATCACAGTGTCATCCAACTTATAGCAAGAGAAATCAGTTGGCAGAATGCCATTTTTAAAAAGTTAAATAGAGCTTTGAACTCAAATCATTTACATCTTTACCTAAAAAAATATGTGAAGTTAATTTTTAACCTGACTCTTAAAATATACAGTTTCTACTTTAAACAAAATGAAAAATGTTTTGAGTATCAAACAGTATATTATCTACCTTGTAGACAGCATCTTCATCTAACACTGCCACTGTGTTAGCAATTTTTAAATGACATGAAACTAGAATAAAAGCTGCCCCTAAATTGTTTTCATTTTAAAAGTCATGACAAATTTCACTAGACTTTTTCTACAAGTAGCATTCATATCATGTGGAAATAATAGTAAAATTTTGCCATTTTAGATTAAGGAGAAAGCATTAGGAAGCAGCTCTTTAGAATAATTTTTAGTAATATTAAGACTCATTGTAGTCCCCTGACCTGCCTTAATTCAGGGGTTGTCTGAATTCTAGGTTTAATAAGATCTCTTATTACCCAAGCCTGGAAACTTACCAATAGGACTAATGGAGGTAATCCAAAGTTAACTCTGAAAGTGACTAAAAGTCATAATTGCAATCACTTAACAGCTATACTTTAAACACTATTCTATTTACAACACTATATAATAAATAACTTGCAGCAATATAGTGACACTCAAATCGGTTTGTTATCCTCAACTTTCTAGAGGTTTCTTGTAACTTTCATTCATAAAGAAATACCAATAGCAAGTTTAGAATAAGAACAATCTGAGATAGAAATTTTCCTTTATGGCACAAATATTAAGGCCTAGTCAGCACTCAGAAATATTTGGAGCCTAAACGCTTTTCCTTCCTCACATTAGTACAAAGAACTGTCGGTGTTGAGAAGGCTGAAAGGAGAGGGCAGCTTCTTCTTGACGTTAGGCCTCACGACCCCGACCGACGGAAGGGACATGGTGCTGGCAGACTTCTGCCTGTTCTTGTTGGTGCCCCAACTCAAGAAAGAGAGCTTTTTTGAAATTTTCTTGGTTTTATCGATTTTCTCATCTTCTATGGCTAAACAGATCATGGAGTAAGTTTTCTGCATTCCCACAGAGTATGTGGCACACTTACTATGCTGCACATAAAAAAAGAGAAAAAGGGGGTATTAGAAGTCCACAAGATAATAGGTGGTTGAAAAGTTTGAGATGCACATTCTATACTTACAGCAACTCCTTTAAAATCACATTGGTATAATTTGGAACTCTGGTGACTAACACATAGAATTAGACTCTTAAACATAAGATAATGTTTAAGGAAAATACTAAGCAGTAGTAATTCATGCTTAGTATCACTACTCACTTTTTTTAGGTTTCCATTGTATTTGAAAAAGTAATACATACTTAGAATAAACAATATGAACATATATATACAGTGAACAGGTCTCCCTCCCATCTTGGCTTCCAGGCCTCTCCACTGAGGTAACCAGTGTTTGTTTGCACCCTGCTTGTTTTACTTAACATAGTTTGAATTTCCATCCACACCAGTAGGTACAGATCAACCTCACTGTCTTTATAGATTGTAGAACCTGTGGTGAAGATACTACTAATTTCTAAAAGACTGGGCAGGCCTCAAATAGGAAATCTGAGGAAAGTTGTTTCCTAAACACTTGTAGGTAGATTATGACCTGCTTCTAAGGTTTGCCTAACATTAAGATTGATTCATTCATCAAATGTTTATTGAGAAGCTACTATGTTCAGGCACTACAATTAGGCTAGTTGTATAAAGATACATACAGCGTATCTAAAATGGTTGGGTGCATTGTTCATAATAAAAATCTTGAAAGAAATATGAGTTACAGCAATAAAAGGGGGTGTTCTTGTGTGTTGTGCAGTTGATTCTGACTCATAGTGACCCTAGAAGATAGAGCAGAATCGTCCTATGGGGTCTCCTAGGCTGTAATCTTTCTGGCAGCAAAAGGCCAGGTCTTCTCCCATAGAGCAGCTAGTGAGCGGGTTTGAACTGCCAATCTTTTGTTAGCAGCTGAACATTCAACCACTGTACCACAGGGCTCCTTTATAAAAGGGGTTTTTACTATAAAATACTCCCCTTGAGTTTGGCTCCTTTGGATGAAGATGCCTCTCCCTTTTCTATAAAATTGACCATTAATTCCAACGTGCTTTACAGGGCACATACGCTATCATTAAAAACAACAAGATTTGAGGCCTGTAAACATTTTTCAACATAACCTACTTAGACTCAGTGTGCATCATTATAACTAATCACTTAGCTTCAATGCCTTCAATTATCTTCTTCTTCCACTCTCACCTGTCAAAATGTCAACTCTAGTTAAAATGTACCCTCTGACCCCCAGGCCTGCACACTGCAGGAGGAATTTTCCAAACTGACTGATTCCCTTCAAATTCTAACACTCTCACTCCAAACCTAATAAGTACCCCTTACCTGGCAATCTTTCTACGTTTCCCTTATAATTTCATTCCTTTTCTCCTGTTTCGTACATTCTCTTCTCTCCTTAAGCCACTTGCATGGCCTCGTGATACCTCACCTGATGCTTACGTGCATCTGCTCCCAAAGACCAAGCCCTGCCCCCTGTGCCTAGATCTCACACTCAAGAGAGATCTTCCAGAAGTCCCCACCTTCCTGCTTTTTTAGCCTCTCCCTGTCTCTGAGACCTTTACCATCAGCATACACACTTGCTCTGGTATCTAACCCCCTTCTTTGAAACCTTCCCTGACCCTATGCCCTCCTCAGTTACCACCCCCAATGTCTCTGCTCCCTTTTACAGCCAAACTTCTAGAGAAAGCTGTCTTCCCTTTCTCCCCTTCTATTCACTTTTTTTTTTCTCTCCCTGTCTTACGGAGCATGCTTCCTACCACTCACGCCCCAATATTCCTAGGATACCACTCTGGAATGCAGGACTTTATGGAGCACAGTCTGAAAACTACTCAACTTGACTAACTCTTACACGGATGAGGGAACTGAGACCCAGGGAGGATATGAACCTGCTGAAGGTCAAAAAAAGTATTCATGGCAGACGGGGCTAGGTTCCAGGTCACTGATTCCAATCCTTGGATTCTTTTCACTATACAAAGTAGTTTTCAAAATCTCCTCCACAGAGGGGCACTATGGCAACCCACAGCAGTCAAGAAGGAGGGGTAGCAGGCAGTGTTTCAGGTACTGATTAACCAGAAAATGGGGCTATATTTGTTTTGTATTTGATTTCAATTGAAGAAAGGGCTCAATAGCTAAAAACAGTGCTTAACTGTCATTATCTAAAGTCCTTGTTGAGTGAAGAGAATAACCATAATAATCATGGTTTTATTGTTATAACACCAATAATGAATTGAAGGAGCCCTGGCGGCACAGCGGTTAAAGCACTCAACCGCTAACTGAAAGGTCCATGATTCTAGCCCACCTGCTGCTCTGCGGGGGAATATAACGCAGTCTGCTTCCATAAAGATTTACAGCCCTGGAAACCCTATAGGGGCAATTCTCTTCTGTCCTGCAGGTTCTCTGTGAGTCGGAATCCACTCGCTTACAACAGGTTTAGCTGTTTTTTTAAAATTGTAAACTGAAATTTATCCCTGCTAGGCAATGTTGAAGGAGGGCTTTACATAAGCTCAAGTTGATCCTACTGACAGCCCTAGGTGGTAGGTATTTTTGCACAGCATTATTACCATCTGCTATAAACAGCTTTCTATGGCTTGGCCTAAGAACACAGTGGTGTTAAAGCCAGAATTCAAACCCAGGCAGTCTGAATCTAGAGCCTTTGTTTCTATCTGTTACACCAAATTCTTCACTGGCCTGGTTCAAAGATTGGACAATTAACATCTTACTTAATCGGCAAAAATTAGATGCTTTCTCGCTAAGATTGAGAATAAGGATATCCCCTGCCACGGCTCCTCTTCACCTTTTTACTAGAAGTCCAAGCTAATGCAGTTAGCTGGTTAGCAGTCAAATGCCTTAGGAACTGCACCACCAGAGCACCCTATCTCAGAAAAGGAAATGGTATATAGAGTGGGAAGGAAGAAATAAAACTGTTCACAGATGATATGGTTGTCTATGTAGATAATTCCAATGAATTGACCAAAAAAAGCCTCCTAGAACCAAGTGATTTTATAGCAAGGCCACAGGACACAGGGTTAATTTTAAAAAGTCAGTTCCTTTCTTATATACTAACAATCAAGAAATTGATATTCGAAATTAAAAACATACAAAGCACAACTCTTTCTCTCCCTACCCCACTACTGTTGTGATAAAAAAAAAAACCATTAACTACCCATGTAGTTGTTCAAGCTAACCACTAAGGGGTCATCTACCTCCCTTTCCCCCATCTCCTTTACACAAACCATCTACAAATACCTGTCAGTTCTACCTCCAAAATACGTCCCAGGTGCACCCATCTCTCCACCTCCACTGCCATCCCACTAGTCCAACTGCCTAACATCACTTGCTGTATTTCCATAGCCAGCTCAGCCTCCAGGCAGCAGACACATTTTTAAAATAAACATCACACCACGTCACTCCCTTTCTTAAAGGTTCAGTGGCTTCTTAACTCCCTGCCACTGTCAATAGAGCCCTTCATGCCTATAACCTCCCTCCCTTCCCCTGCCTCCCCCTGTCATTTCCTGTCACTTGGTCCCTCTGACTAGAAAGCTCTTCTTGTACCTTTTCAAATGGCTGTTTCCTTCTCATCACTTAAGTCTCAATTCAAACTCCACCTAGAGGAGCCTTCTTCCCACCCCTAGTCATCTAGCACATTATACATTTTATGTTCTTTCTTTATCAAAATCACAATCATTTATTTACTTATATAGTGTCAACTTGGTAGGGGTAAGAATCTTATCTATCTAGTTCAAACTGTAGCTCTGACACCTAAGAGACTGCCTGGTGCACAGTAGGTGCTCAATACTTGTTGAATGAATGCATGTTTTTATAGAGGGAAGTGTCGCAGGTACATTATTAAGTGCAGTTAAGTGCAGAAGAGTACATGTGGTATGATTCCTCCCACTTGGATAACCTGAACTTGAATAGGTGTATAACATTTCCCAAATACAGTTTCCTAACTGTGAACAGTGTGTCTGAAGTGGGAAAGGGACATTTACATCTTGTATTAAGCCCTTCTCTATCATGTGAACTTTTTTTTTTTTAACCATGAACATAGATTAGTTTGTAATTAACAATAATCAGAAAAATCCATTCACTGGTTATTTTATCTACAGAATTTAAAAAAAAAAAAAATCAAATTTGGTTCAGTGGTAAGACCCTTGTCTTGCATACAGGAAATCTGGGTTTGAGCCCAGTCAATGTACCTCATGCAGAGCCACCACCCACCTGTCAGCGGAGGCTTGTGTGTTGCTGTGATGCTGAATAGCTTTCAGCAGAGCTTCCAGACTAAGCCAGACATGGAACAAAAGAGTGGCTATCTACTTCTGAAAATCAGCCAACGAAAACCCCGTGGATCCTAGCAGTCCAATCCGTAACTGATCATGGGCACAGCACAGCACCAGGCTGCTTCTTTCCACTGTGCATGGAGTGACCATGAGTAGGGCACACTTGACCGCAGCTAACAACAATAACAACTCTTTGACTCACAGTGAGCACATCCCAGTGCTTATGAGCTTTGCAATTCAGTTGTTTTGTGGCAAATAAGTTTTTTTTAAAAAGATGTTTATGTTACAAATAAATGTAGGATGGAGGCAGAGGGCATGGCAAAGCCTCTGAGGTTCAATCACACTGATTCCACTCCACATCACTGTTTGATGCCAGAGGGTATCAGCACTCACCATGGACGACGTGGAGTCCAGCAAGCTCACAACCTTCATCTCAATGTCGTCGTCACCAAAGCTCTTCAACAGTTTCATGACCTCACTCACTGTCAGCCACTTGCAACCCACGTCTTGAATAGAAACAATATAATCTCCCTCCTTGGCTCCTGCCAGCTACAAAAGTATTGTTTAAATAAAGGTCAGTGTTGTGTTTATTCATATCCCTGAATTAGACAGTTTCTAGATCCACTGACAAAATAGATATCTGCATATGTTTGCTTCAAGAAAGCAAAAATTAAAACTTTTCTCTTTGGGCTTGTAGCACTGATGAAGCCTTTCATATAAAGTCAGAATGCTTCAGAAGCCCCCTAATTCAATCATGCAGATATATATGTTTGGGCTGCTTTCTTTGTATTTTGCCAGTTTGACTCCCTGTAAAGATGTCATTGAGTTTTGTTCCATATTTAAAATGGTGTACACTTACTGCCGCTGAGCAATAAGGATCTAGGAAGTGAACTTGAACTGGGGAGTTTCCTCTCAAGGTGAACCCCAAGTCCCCTTCTTCTGCGATGAAATGAATACTTCGAGGAGGTGTCCATCTCTTGTTAGCCGAAAACACAGATAGGGGGCCCTTTGGAATAGAGCTTATTATTAGTTGTAGGTTTTGAAAGCTGAATCAAACACCTGTTGCCTATTGTCCTTGAAGATTTCTGTCAACCTTGTTCAGAGACTAATGATACCATCTGGGACATGTGCTATAGCACTCATAAGAACATTAGTAGCCATTTTCCCTTTTACATACTCGCAGAATTTAAAAGCTGTCCCCTTAGGTCATTATGAAATAAGTGTTTAACATACCAGCTTCTGGAAGAAGTCTGTTACTGTCACCTTGGACAGCTGTGGTGGTATAATTTCAACTTCTTGCTCAGTTTTAGCTAGGAAAGAAGATTAAAAGTACAAGAATAAATGTTTCTGAAATTGAAAATTGAACTCAGAGCTACAGTATTCTCTCAGAGGGAAGAGAAAGTAAAATTTTCTCCTAGCTATTTGTCCTTCCTCTTGGTTTAGACAAGTAGTATGGGAGACAGAACACTGTTCAATTTCCTGGTCCACTATGAACTTTACCTTCCATATGGGCACCTACTATGTGCCACACCCTGTTCTAGAACTAGAAAAGAGTAGTGACAGACAAATTGGCTGCCTTCAAGAAGCTTATATTCCAGTAGAATTCCTTTGGCATGTATAAAATTCTACTGAAAAGCAATTCTATTTCAGATGTGTCTATCATGGAACTTCTATGCCTTCCAATTGGAGCTCTGGTAGCAAAGTGCTTGAGGCATGTGACTGCTAACCAGTAGGCTGGCCATTCAAACCCACCAGCCATGCCTCAGAAGGAAGGTTGGGCAATCCACTTCCATAGTGATACCGCCTTGGAAACCCAAGGAGGTGTTGCTATGAGTCGGGTCCAACTCAACAGCACATACCAACAACAACAACAACATGCCTTCCGATACAAAGTCATGGGCATAATGTGCCTGCTTTCATTATTAATATGTGATGTGAGGATTTCATGCATGGTGGTTTGCCAAACCGTGTCCATCAACAGCTACGAGTGTCTACCAGCATATTCATGGCAGGCTCTGCTTCAATTCATACAATAACACCAGTCAGTTCCTAACAAAAGATCCCATAACAGGCTAATTACATATGTACAAGCATAAAAAAGAAAGTCTAGGGAAAAATGACTGGTACCTCCAAGGTAGAACACATCCCCCTCTAACTCACAGGATGAGTCTGTGGCTTCTTACAAACCAATGGACAAAACCCTGAGCTCAGACAGGCTGTTCATCTGCTACAATGGCAGCACCACCCTCACCAACAGCCTCAGCAGAGCCACATGCTCCCTGCCAGGGAGTTTAAGTCTCTTCCTCCTGGCCACAGGGCACACTGGGGCCAGGGCCAATGAGATGGCTACAGTGTCCGTGCAGGAGAATCCCCAAGCACCACTCCTGCTTCCACCACTTATCAGCCTAGTCACCTGGGGCAACTACTTTGATCGCCCGAAGCCTTTATTTCCTCGTTTTTAAAATTGGGATGATAGTAGTATCTCCTTCACAGTGTTAGAAGGATGGCTGAATGAGATTCCATATACTTGGGGCTTAGTGTCATGTCTGACAGACTCCAAATGGTCAACAGGTAATAGCTAGCATTACTAGAGAATAAGCCCAGGATTCTAGGCTGAGTAACACTTTGTCTTTAGGGAGCTGGTCTATAAAAATTGGGGTGGAACCCCAGAGACTAAGGCCAGAGGTATAGGAAGTGAGTGGGAGAGAGGCATGCACAAAGGCAGTTCCCTTGACTGGACTATCCTCCACCCCAACCCCAACTCCTTCTAGGAAGATTCTAGCTGTTCCTCACTGCAAACTCACCTCTCAGAGGAGGGCTTCCACTCATGCCCTCCCAAACAGAACTGACCATCCCCTCCCTGAGGGCAGCAACAACTGTCTAGTTCCTGTCTGTACTCCTGAAAACCCAGGATAGTGCTCAGTACCTTGGAGATGTCATAGAATGTTGGTGGTGATAAAAGATGGAGAAAAGGGAAAAGAACAAGTCTGGGAGAGAGAATAATGACATATTTGGTTTTAAAACTAGAATTAAAGATAAAAGACAGATAGCTATGTGCAGTTTTCCAAAAGGCAGCTGGAAAAAGGGGCAGGGGGGAGTCTAGCAAAGACATCAAGGCTAAAGGTGAAGCTTCAGGAGTCTTCTGACTAGAGGTGATGGCTGAAACCCCACTGACGGTCATGAGGCTTTAAGGAAGAGAGTCTGGAGAAACAAACTAGGTAGAGTAGACCCCTAGAGAATGCCAAGAGGGGTGGGTAAGACAGGGCAAGAACAATAGTCAAAACAAAGGAGAAAAAGAACACTGAGGGGAAAAGAAAAGAAGAACAGTAGTCTGCAAAGGGAATGGAGAGGGAGGGCTCTTGGAGGTGGGAAGAGAACCAATATAGCAGGGTGCCCCAGACACCAAGGGTAGAATGGCAGCATCAGATGCTGCAAAGAGGGCAATGAGGGAAAAGACCATAAAGAAGCCCTGGATTTGAGAATTAGGAGATGAAAACTCCTAAGTGAAGTGAGCAAGAACAGTACCTTGCTCACTCACCTCTGCAGCCCTCCCAGTGCCCAGTACACAGAGAGGGTTTCCCAACTCCCTGCAGGATGAGCAAATAAAGGCTGTGTTTACCCAGAGCACACCTGACTCTTACACAAGCCACACTGTGTACACAGCATAGACATCCACGCACCAGGCAAACAGCCTTAGTCACTCACAAACAATGTTGGGAGCATCAGTTAAGTCCAGCAGATCATCGTCCTCTTGGTGCTGAGAATACTTGAGCCTCGAGCGCTGGTGTGCCACGGAGAGCACCTCCTGGAGCACCTCGATGTTGCGGAGCTTCATGCACAGCCCAGCCTCCCTCATAGACTCCTCATGATGGACAATGGCTTTGCGCAGATGCGATTTTCCTGTCAAGTGACATGTTTCCTTAATTGCAAATGTGAATGTATCAAGAAGAGCCAAAGTGCCCAAGGATCACCGCAAGAAGGTGGACATTCTCTTCTCTTAAGCTCCATCTGGAACTTAAGCCTCTCTTAAATTAATATGCAATATGCTCACTTGTGTCTGAGCTTTTCATTCATTCACTAGACAAATATTTAGCAAATACTCTAAGCAGGAGATAAAGCAAGGAACAAAATATAGTACCCCCTCCTGCTGCCATCTTGGAGCCAGTGTTGCCTGCTGGGAAGAAGACTTCTAAACCAGAAAATATGCCCAGAAGGCTGCGGCCCAAGGATATTTTTGATGGATATAGATAGGGTCTCTGGAACCAGAGGATGTACATAACTCTTTTTAAAATTGAAGGTGTTTATGGCCAAGATGAAACTGAATTCTATTTAGGTAAGCAATGTACTTATGCTGTGTACAAAGCAAAGGACAACACAGTGACTCCTGGAGGCAAACCTAATAAAACCAGGATAATGTGGGGAAGGGTAACTCATGCCCATAGAAAAAGTGGCACAGTTCGTGTCAAATTCCGAAGCAACCATCCTGATAAAGCCACTAGATAATGAATATATGTGATGCTGTACCCCTCAAGGATGTAACCTTATTGAAGAGTAAATATAAATACTGTTGTTGTTGTTGTATGTGCCATCGAGTCAGTCCCGACTCAATTGTGGGGTAGGAAAAATAAAAAGCCCCTGAGTTCATGGAATCGACCTGCTAATGGGTAAAGATAGATAATTAAGCAACAAGCTATGTAATGGACTATGTGACCATGGATTATAGAGAAAAATAAAGCAGAGTAGGCAGATGTGGCAAGAGAAACTGGGGTGGGGAATTGCTAGTCTTTAGTGGGTGACTATGTAGGCCTTTTTGATAAAGTAACTTGAAAGCAAAGCCATGAAGGAAGTGAGGAAGCATCCATGAGATATCTAACAGAAGAGTGGTCCTAAAAGACAGAATAGATAGTGAAAAGGCCCTAGGGCAGGAGCATGCATTCAAGTACAGGGAGCTAAATGTGGCTGGAGGGAGGTAAAGCAGGAGAGAAGGGTAGGGCATGAGGTTAGAGAGTAGTAGGGGACAGATCATGGTTGATCTTATAAGTATAGGGTGAGGACTCTCATGCCTACTCTGGGTGAGATGGGAGCCCATTAGGGTTTGAGCAGAGAACTGCTGTGATTTGGCCCATGTGAACAGATTAGGAAGGAGCAAAGAGGGAAGCAGGGAGAACAGCCATGAAACCACTATAAAAAGTTGGCACGTTGCATGACCTCTCTGTGCCTCCATTTCCTTAACTGTCACATGGGACCACACTGTACCTATCCAATAGGACTGTTGTGAGGATTAAGTTAGTCAATGTTTTTTAAGTAAGTATGGCTGGGGCCAGTGTGACAGGGTGAGAAGTTGTTGGATTCAGGATATGTTTTCTAAGTACAGCCAATGGGATTTGCTAATCAAATGTGGGTTGAGAAAGAGCAACAAGAAGGAGGGTGACTAGTGTTTCTGGCCTAAGCTCCTAGAAGAATAGAGTTGCTATCACTGAGATGGAGAAACTGTATGTGTTCGGGAGGAAGACCAGGATTGGGTGGTGGAGGAATTTAAGTTTCAATATGGAAGGAGATATCTACTTTGAGACACAGCAGAGACCAAGTAGGATAACTCATAACTGGTTCTTAGGAGCGCTTGGTGATGAAGCTATGGATAAGAAAGTTAACAAATGTGTCCTCCCAAACACCATTCTGAGGACCATTCGGACATTGGGAGGTTGTCAAAGCTCTGGCTCCCCTGTGGGATGCCTGGACCCTTGCAGAATCCAGGAGAACACAGCTCTGGAAGCCCTTCAAACCTAGAAATGTGCCTCACACAGTTACTGAATCCAGATGATCTCAATGACACTGGTCATCTTCAGGGAGCATGAAGATTTGGATGCCCCACTCTTTTGAGAGCCAGCCCCAGCACAGGTTCCAGGGCTGATACACACCCAACTGTCTGCGCTGATGCTCATTTTTCAGTGTGGCCAAGGGTGTCAGTCCCTCAGGCATGTGGTCGTAGAGCTCGGACAAGCACTTCTCCTGGTGGTCCTCATCTGCACCAGGCTTCACTGCAACAGAAACTATTGGTTAAGTCCCTTCTCATGGACCTGCCTATAGGCTCTGAAGATGGTGGCACAGACCCACTTAGACATTTCTCTTTCAGCATGACTCTGGGTTCCTTCCTTCCGGTTCAAGTACCAGTTTTACTAGGCATCTGGGTAAATGGGTCTACTCTGCACCTCTGGACACATCCCAGGCAACCCAATGTACAAACCTTTGGCCAGGGACTTTGGCCTCAGGGCCAGGCACACTCTAGTGGTGCATGATTTGGCACTGAGTCTCCACACTCTACCTCATCTGAGTTCCCCATCTCATGGAACCTTCCAGCATAGACCTGATTCTGTTGCTGCTCTGCTTGAAAAGCTCTGGTGGCTTCCACACCTGTAACAAATGGCCTTTCCCAGCTTCAGCTTCACCTTCCATGGCATGCATCTTACTCTTTAACCTCACCAACAATCCTTTGCTTAGAAAGTTTGCTCTTCTCTTAGCTGTTCTTTACCTCCATATTCAGCTGGAAAAATTCCTACTCAGAGTTCAAAGTCTAACTCAGTTATCAACATTTTTGAGTTACTATCTATGACCACCAAGTAGAATGAATTGCTTCCTTGTTCGTGTCTCTACAGCAATTACCAAGGTACTATGTTTCTATTTACCTATCTTGTCCCCTTGACTAACACTTTCAGAGAGCCTACTATGTTCTCAATATCTTCAGCCAAAACCAGGCCAGGAGCTGATTGTGGAACAGACCATCAACTGCTC